CCCCAAAACCCCAAAACCCCAAAACCCCAAAACCCCTATAATTTAACCTAAAATTGGAAGAATAAATTTATTTCAGCTGCCATGAGTAGTAGATCCCGAAGCGAAAGTAACGACCGCTCTGAAGGTGACACTCAGTCACCAACCTTCAAAGGAAACGCATCACCGTTGAAGAAGGGTACCAAACCAGGTTAACAAAGTTTAGAGAAAATTAAGGAAAAGTCACAGAAGGATAATAAAGATGAGGAAAATAAAGTTAGGAGCAAGGATTAATTTATAGAAAGAAACTAAACCTATGGTCCTTGCGAAGAAAAATATCAAGCTAGTTAAAGGAACCATGAAAGGTATCAAGCTTAAGGAAGACCCTCCTGTTGAGGTAAAGGACGGGAATTATGAAAAAGCTGCAGAGACCCATCAGTAAGACCGCAATTCGTATTTTCCCCTTCATTTTTAGCTGAGCTTATGTATTTTTAGCCTTAAAGATCTCCATCTCAAAATAATTGATCTTGAAAGTGAGATCCAAGAACTCACTTCAAGGATGAACAAGTCTAATTACCAAGCGATGCAAGATAAAATCAAAAACTTAGAGTCTGAAGTAATCAAGACCAAAGAAGAGATCCTTGATCAAAACAAGAAAATGCAAGGGTTCATGGAAGAAGGAATCCGAAGCATTGTTAATCAAAATGAACAAATCTCAACTTGCCAGGACATAATCGCCAAAATAAAAGAAGATATGGTATCTCCCTTACTTAATCCTGTGATAGGTACTCCAACAGAATTTGCTAAAGAAGAAGGAAGATATGGTAGAGCAAGCTCAAACTGAAGTGGACGAAATCTCAAACACCAGTGCTGACATTAAGATTCAAAATATCGAACTTGAAGATCAAGTGACCACTCTTCACACAAAAATCTCTAATTTAAACGAGACCCAGAAACATTTAGAGGATGAAGTATTAAACGAGAAGACAAAATTTGATAAAGTCATCAAGAGAAATCTGCTCATTGATGAGTTGAACAAAGATATGATGGACATGAACATCGAAGATTTATGCAAGTTCATCAACCAGTCTCTCTACGAATGTGTACATACTATCCGTAGGACAAACATAAAGCAAATCCTTAACACCGGCGACCAGGTAATCGACACTCTTAAGCAACAAGGTTGTGAAGACCTAGTCAAAGGTATCGAAGAAATCATGACCAATTTTGAATTCATGCATGAAAGGAAGGAGAAGCCAAAAACTCCAGAAAAGCAGTCCAAAGAGTCTGATAAGGACTCCTCAGTCGATGAAAAGGAGCAGCCTAAGAAAGACCAGAAAGACCAGAAGGACCAAAAAGATCAAAAAGGTCAAAAAGAAGAAGAGAAAAAGAGACCGGCTAAAAAGTCCAAAGAAGAGAAAGAGAAGGAAAAGAAAGACAAAAAAGAGCAGCGTGAAAAAGACAAAATCAGTGGTAACCCTCTTAACCTCATCTCTAGACAAAATCCCTGAAGACAGCAAGATGACCGAGGAAGAATTCAAGAAGCTCAAAGCCTTACAGGCTGAAAATTGGAAACTAGAAGATAAATATGAAGAACTTGAAGAGACAAATGAGAAACTTGAAGAGAAAAATGACAAACTTGAAGACAGAATCTCTGAACTTGAAAGTACCATCAAAGATTTTGGCAATGAAAAGAAGGAATTTGAAGCCGAAAAGAAGGACATGGAGAAAGAAAACCAGAAATTAGTGGATAAACATAAGAAATATGAAGACCTCCTAGCTGAAGTGACTACTTCTTTCCTTACCTATGTCTCAAAAGTTCACAATGATATCCAAGAAGTCAGTGATGAGTATAAAGGTATCATAGAATTTGACGATGATGAGATGCTGAATAAGATCAAGCATGCTCAAGAGAAACGTGAACAAGGACTCAAAGAGGAGACTGATAAGGACATCATCAAGAGAAAGAACAAAGAAAACATGGATTTACTAAGAGATCTCTCCCACATCAAGCTTCAGCTCAAAGAACTTGAAATAGAGCATGAAAAGAGTATCCAGAAGGAAAATAATATGACCAACAGCATGGAGGAACTCAAGATTCTCCTTGACGAGACCCACCAGAGATTTGAGACTAGGATCAATGAATATAAACAACAAATTCACCTCAAAGAAGAGCATGCTAATAACCTAAGGGATCAAATAGATTTCCAAAAGAAGGTAATCAAAGAGCAGGATCAAAGAATGTCTATTCACGAACACCAAGAAGGTAAAATCTCCATCTAAACTCTACAGATACCTATAAGGCTAAAATAAAGGACTCAAAGGAGTATCAGGACTTGCAGAACAAGAAGCTGCGTGAATATAGCACATTGGTTAACAACCTGAACCAGCAGATCAGAGATCTCACCTCTGAGCGTGACGAGTAAGCTTCCATCTCACTCTTTTCAGTCTTATCAAACTGACCAAGGAACAAAAGGAGAAAATAGACAAGTTCAAGTCAAAGATGAAATCTCTCGAAGAGATGTACTGTACGAAACCCTGCTTGACACTTTAGATAAATCCGATAGAAGCTACATGAAAGAAAATGCCAAATTCCTGAAAATGGCTGAGAAATGTACAGAAATAGAGCACAAGCTACAGATCTCACAGAAAATGGCTGAGAAAATGAAAGCTGATAAGGAAAGACTTTTAGATGAGTATTCTAAAATGGATAGGGAGATAGGACCCAAACCTACCCAGCGTTCGGAGAGCAGCCAGAAATCAGAAAGGTCACTGAGACATACTGAGTCACATGCTTCTCAAAGCCAAAGAGATGAAGAAAAAGATGATGAAAGCGAAGGTACCAGGTTTAAAAAGCAATCTGAAAATAATTATTCTGAGTCTGCTTCAGAAGGAGGTCACGAGTTACCACAAGATTCTGATTCTGATGATTCAAAAGAAGCATCTAAAAGTATATCCAAAGGTAAATCAAAAGGTGGATCTAAAGGTGGATTTAAAGGTGCTCAAGACTCTGATTCAGAAGGATCCTCTAAACATGACTCTCCAAAATCCAAAAAGTTAGAAAAATAGTCTACAGATCATAAATTTTACCTTAAAAATTGTTGAAAATTTAATTTGTGTTGTCAAGACACATAAAAATAATGGGGTTTTGGGGTTTTGGGGTTTTGGGG